TATCTGAATATTTTTGTTTCACTGTAGATTGTAGATGTGCAGAGCTCTAGCTGCTCTTTGGCTTCTGCTGAGGAAAAAACAAGCCACGTGTATATGGAATAATTTTTGAGTTACATAATGTGGAATAAGATTGCACAGCATGATTCGTTCTATCTGCCCTCTGTACAGGCAAGAGGAACACTTCTCTTATCGAGTAGATGAGCACAGCTCACAGGGATTCCCCAAATACACCCTGAATGGACAAAGGTACAGCTTCCAGCCAACGCTGATTTTTAGATTCCCACCAGTGGTGGATCTATGGCAGCCCTGTCGGGCTCAGGGCATAAACAAGATCCCAGGGGAGGCTAATGAATTCCCATTAGATTTCCCTAATAAGTCAGAGGTCAGTTCTGGATATGTTTCACCTCACCTGTCATCAGTGTTTGGTTTTACATCCCATCCCCTCTCCATCTCCCCCCAGCCATGCTCACCCGAGGGCTGTCGGTGTGCTCAGCATCTCCTTGATGTTCCAGACGTTGAAGTTCATGTTGTTCTCAGGGCTGACACCCTGGCAGGGAACCCCCAAACAGCCCCACGGCCCCAGCCCTCACGGCCTCTCCCCACCCGCAGCAGCCATAGTGCTGCAGTGCCTTGCAGGGAGATTAAAGATGACCAGCTCCACCCAGGGCAGCATCACCTGTGTCCTGTGGCTGTGGGGACAGCCCGGGGGGACACAGCCCTGCAGGCCCAGGGCAGGCCTGGCCTGAGGCCCCCCACAGGCCGGGGGTGCAGCCAAGCACTGGGCCTGCCCACCTGTGGGGCACGAGGGGCCTCGGTGCCCTGGGGCGTCCCGGGGTCTCACCCAGGCCTGGGGGTCCCTGGGGCCAACCAAGGCCTGAGGGTCCTTGGGGTCACCCCAAACTCAGAGTTCCTGGATCACACTCCGAGGTTTGGGGGCTCCTATGGAGATCTCTGGGCCTCATCCCAGGGCTCAGGGTCCCTGGATTTCACCTCAGGGCTGGAGGCCCTGGGATCAGTTTGGGGCTCAGGGTCCCTGGATTTCACCTCAGGGCTGGAGGCCCTGGGATCAGTTTGGGGCTCAGGGTCCCTGGGTTTCACCTCAGGGCTGGAGGCCCTGGGATCAGTTTGGGGCTCAGGGTGCTGGGGTTTCTCCTCAAGGCTGGAGGACTCTGAGCCTCACCCTGATGCCTGAGGTACCTCAAGGTCCTATGGGGGTCCCTGGGGTCACCCTGGAACTGAGTGTCCCTGGCTCCTTCCCTGGAGATGAGGGTCTCGGTGGTCGCCTCAGGGCTGAGGGTCTCTGGATCTCGCCCTGTGGCCATGGAGCCAGGATCAGCCCCAGCTCCAGTCGCTCCACAAGCCAGCCCTTGCTCCTCACCTGGAAGCACAGCTCCAGGCACAGGGAGTCATCACAGGACACTAGGAAGAAGAGAAAGCTGAAAGCTTGGAACCTAGCATACTGAGAGTTGCTCCCATGTGAGCATGGCAGCCACAGCATCCATTTCCTTTATTTCCAGAGGCCTGTGTGGTCTCTAATGTAAATACCTCTGGCAGAAATGCAGAAGGATTTAATTTCATCCATCAGGAATATGACAAAAATAACCACCATCTAAACGTTCCCCAGAGAAACATTCTCAAATATAGTTTTACTGGATTTTTTGCCTTGTGGGTCCATAACATCCATGTTTAGGAATGTAAAACAGGCATGTTTGTTTGCCTATTTTCTCCTCATTTAATTCAAAACTATTTCAATACTAGTTAAAATGTTTTTTTCCTGGCTCTGAAGATACTCCATAAGCACTAAACCACTGGAGGAATAAGACTGGCATAAATTCATGGATAGATCAGGGGAATTACTTACATTCCCCTTTTTTCTCTTTTGCCTTTAGTATTAAAGGCAGCCCTGAGCTCAGGGGTGTCAAAATAATGGCTTTCTTGATGTACATATCTAGTTTCCTAATCAAATCCCATGTAGATAAAGCTTTCACTTTAGATAAAAAAATAAAATTCTGGTATTTTATCCATAAAAAATTTATTGAAGTGACTTCACTGCATAGCTTTACTTGACATTACAGCACTAAGGTGGGTTTAAATAGCTTGGATTAATCAAGGCAGCTTGATACCTCCCAGCTCAATGAGAAGACTCTGACGGGTTGATTTTCTAGGACCAGAGTAGGGAGTTGCAGCTTGGACTGTGTTCCTACTTCAGGGATGGGGTAGTGACTGGGCTGTCCAAGGCAGCCATGGGCTGGAAGGCAAACCTTCCTCCAGAGTGCCAAGCCAATAGAAATGTTAATGTTTATTGTGATTTTTAAGTAAATAAAAGCCTTGTTCTGCTCCTGAACTGCCTACAGCTCTGTTGTACAGACGAGTACATGGCACTGCTGCCAAGAGCCTTGCTGTGCATCCAGGCCCTATATGGTCCTGCATCATAAACAATGAATTTCCAGCATTTTATTGCTCATGATTGAAAAGTTGGCCCAGATCTTCCTGCAGAAGAGACTGTAGAGTCCTGTACCCATTTGCAGTGCTTCCACTGCCATTAGAAAAGGAATTGCTGGTGCTGTGCGCACTGGCGATAAGGCTCAACATGTTATTTTAGGTACTTAGAAAGAGCTATTCCTATTTCTGATGTGGCTGGAGCCTTCTGGTATGAACGTCTAGCAAGTTTGTGGAATATGATAAATGAGATTTTTGTATTTCCATCTCTCCTGACAACGGAAAGAAATTTCTATATGCAAACACATTTTTTTAATTATAGGTCTGACAGCTACTTCCATTTCCATCTCCCCTGTCCATAACACGCTCTGGGGAGATTAACCATGTTGCCAGGCGCTGGCTCATAGCTCTCCTTATAGCTGAAATAACAGCCTGTGCTTCTAGCATTAGGGAGGGTAGCCAGATACCTTGTAGTCTTTCCTTTAGTAGAAATTAGCAGAAGCTTCCAGGAGATAGACAGCAATATACTTGGTACATCCCTCAACATTTTTAACTTCATAACACATTCCATTAGAAATTCACATCCTCAGTTGACAACATGTCAGTCTGCAAAAGTGGTCAGGACTGTCATCTCTCCACTCCTGAGATGTCCTAGTAACTTTTTCTCCTCTCATTCAAATGGGATTCTGGTCTTGTGCTCAAAAGTAGAGGTATAGAAAAGAATAAGAATCCCACACTTAATGAGAGGTCAAAGATTCCTGTTGCACTCAGGTGGAGGATCCAAGCCAAAAGGCACTCTGGTGGGTCAGTGTGCCAGGAGAGTGTGTGAAGAAAGGCAGAGTGCTGCTGACAGAGGAGCAAACATCTGTGGGGCAGGGATAATCAGCCTCACTGCTGGAAACTTCACAACACTGAGGGGCTCCTGAGCTCCAGCTTCCCCCTGCAGCATCCTCTGGCTCTTGCAGCTGCCACTGCCTTGAATTTGGAAAAGTAGCCTTGGGCACCCCATCAGCAGCAGGGAGCTTGTGAAGTTGGCACATAGAGATGTCAATTTGCCAGTGACTCAGCATCTTGATTTATCCCACTCATGCAATGCTCCTGTGGGAAAAGCTTATTAATCAGGCCTGTGTTTCCAATGCAGCTCCATGATTTAGGGTCCCCCATGACTAATGGTTTAGCAGGATTGGAATTATTGCATGCCTTGGTGGATTTTGGAAAGAGCTGTCAGGGTGGGGAGATATACCAAAGCGGCAGCAAGGGGTTTATCACCTTCCAGGACCCTGAGAAGGACAAAGCCACCAGGGTTTGAGCACAGGCTAGGGAGTGCTGTGAAATACTCACGGAAGGCTGGAGCACATTGTGCTCAGAGGAGGTGTCCCTCTGTCCAGCCCCCAACCAGAGCACAAACCACTGACCTCCTCCCCAGCTGCCAGCGCATCCTCCCAGCTGTAATTTGGGGCTCACTGTTGATGCTGGCTCTGGCACAACTGTGGTTTCTATGGCAACTCCAGAGGCAGATGCAGGAATGCTTCCAGCTGAGGTACCACCAGCCTAGGTATCCCAAGTTGTTCCTCCCAAATCACAGGTAAATGGTCCTGCAGTGCATCAGGACAGACCCTGCAGTCACTATGCCAGGTAGGCACCAGAGGTAATGGAGCAGAAACATGAAAATATCTTCTGAATGCTCCTTTATGAATAATTCCCAACTTTTCCCATGCTGTGATGCCCCCAGGACATGGCACAGCCTGTCCCCTGTCTCTACAGCAGCCCGCCCGAGGCTCAAGCTGGCTGTCTTTTCTGAAAGGTCAGACATCTGTACTTGATATTTACCCAGACTTGTGAGATCTTTCTAATGTACCAATAAAGGAACAAATCCCTGACCTGCTTTCTGCTTTGGGTGTGAGATTCTATGTGGAGCCAAGAGCAGCAAGGCTCAGGTGAGCCCATAGCACTGGGTAATTCAAGTGTCACCTCCCTTGATCTCGTAATGCACCCCTAAACACCACCCACAGACACCACCAGTATGGAGCTTACATTCCCTTCCTGGTTGCCAGTAAGCAGGATTGCAGTGCTCCTGCCTACAGAAGCTGGACACAGTTGGACTCAGCTCTCTCCCACACCAGCCATGGTTCATCCTTTGAGACGGGGCTGTGGTGCTGCATAGGGCCCACAAGACCTGGCATTAGGCATCTCTTATTTTTTCTTAGCATCCTGGCAGCCCTCAACATTTCCTGCCTCTCTCACACCCCTGGGTACCTTCAAAAAAGTCCCTCCTCTGCTGCTGCCTTCATCCCCCCATAGTCACTTCACCCACAGGAGGCCAAGCAGGAACAAGGCTGTGCCAAGGCAGGACAGCCACTGCTTAGCTCCCCCCCCTGCAAGCAAGGATTGGATCTCTACGTCACATTGCTCCACTCACCCTGGAGGTGGGGAGAACAAGAGTCACCCCTACTCCACCGTATGGGGTCACTGAACTCTGCCTTGGGAGGAGTTTTCCTGACAGGCTGTGCCATGTGTCTGCCTGGAGTAGGATAACCAGAGACGACATGACTCCAGTGGGATAAAATTCCATGTTTCATTTATTTGAGGTGCTACATCACCTCCCAGGCACTGAGCTACAGGGCACCTCTGTGCTACATGAGACATCGACTGGGTCTACGACGACACAGCACTCACTGCTACACACACGGCACAGATACGCCGTGGCACAGATGGGGCCGGACAGGGCAGTGAGGCCAGTGGCAGTCCTGCCACCGCTGCTCCCTCCACGCTGCTGGCGATGGCCATCCCACCAGGCAGGAGTTTGCCCTGGGCTTCATTGCCACAGCGCTGCAGGAGCTGGGAGTTCCCAAATCCGCAGCTGCTCTGGTGCCTGGCATCATGGGACAGAGGCTTCCTGGAGCCAGGCCACCCTGGGTGAACACATGGGTGCTCACACACCCTGTCCCCGTCTTCAGGCACTTGATGCTTGGCCAGAGCTGGTCCCCGGGGTCCTGCTCAGGGCACATCACGCAGGCACAGAGCCTCGACAGCGCCACTGGGACCCTGGGCCACACCGCCGATGATGAAGAGCAGGCTGGGTGTTGGGCAGCTGGAGCAGGAGCAGCGGCCAGTGGGCATGGGGGGCAGCGGCTCCCACTTTTTCTGCGAGAGGCTGAACCCTTCCACTGAGTCCAGTGGGCAGGACTGGTTCCCTGTGGAAGACAGAACCACATCAGCCTCTGTGCAGCTCCCCACTCCTCACCCCAGGCTCTGCCTTTCCCCCTCCACATCCCTTTGATGCCTCAACAGGAGCCCTGAGCTGCACAGGCTTTGAGATCCCAGAGGCAATTAGTGGGGGCACAAGAGGATTAGCAGAGTCCCCATAGGGATGGCTGCTGGCACTAATGCCACACCTGCTGGCTCTGCCCCCTCAACCACTCCTCACCCTCCCCCCCTCCCCGTGCCAGCACTCTGCAGGGATAAGGCAGCTCCAGCTGCGGCAGGACTCAGGAGCAATGCCACACTGCAGGGAATGCAGCCAGCACCTTTCCCTATTCCCACAGCGATCCTGGGGCCCTGGCAGCCCTCGCTGCAGGGCTGGGGGTGCTGTGGCTGGCACCAGGCTCCCCAAGCAGCCCCTCCTGCTGTATGCTCTCAGCTGAGTGACAGCACTAACCTTTCCCCAGCTCTCTCGGGAGATGGATGCAGCACTGCAACCCTGCACAGTGGAGCTGAGCCACCACGGGCTATGTGAGCCCAGAATGCTGCACATGAGCTGGGAAAAGCCTGACTGGGGAGTGAAAGGGGCAAGGGGCACAGTGGGTCAGCCAGTGGGACAGGGCAGTAGGGTCTCCCCAGCGCTCATGAGGGCACGGAGAGATGTTGCTGCAGATAGTGTTGCAGTAAACCCCGGTTTTGCACAGCCAACCTCCCTATGGCCATGCAGATTACTGATGTGCCCCAAAGAATGGGAATGGGAACATGGCCACACGCCTAACCCCAGCATTACCAAGGCCACCCACAGCCACCACTCTTCCTCCCAGGCATCCAGCCACGAAGTCGGCTCTCTTCTCTTTCATACGGATGGTGCGGCTTGGCTTTCTCCACACACCTGGGTATGAGAGGGAGTGAGCATCGCCTGCTGGGGTTTCCCCTCTATACACTAAGGCGAGAACACCCGCAGGTTAATCACTCCCTGGGACCAGGGAGCACAGGATTCAGCATGGGTACACGGGGCTGATGTTCAGAGCCCAGATAATCATGTCCCTCAGGCACAGACACCCCTCACCAACACACAGAATCATCCCAAACCCACAGAAGATGCTCCCACCTCACCCAGAGACATGGAGCTCACCCTGCGCAGGATCAAACATCTCCACGGTGTTGACAAAATGGGGACGGGAATAGAAGTTGTGGGGCCCTGGCTGCTGCAGCCCACCCAGGCTGAAGACAACCCCATCAGCCATGGCACAGGCGGCGAAGGCGCGGCGGCTGGGCACGCTGGGGTAGCGTGTCCAGCTTCTTGTCTCCAGGTCAAAAGCCTCGAAGGCGGTGACAGGCAGCTTGCCTTGCCGGCCTCCTATGCACAGAGGAGATGTAGCTGCCAGTGCCCCAAGCTGGCACTATTGGTGTGCTCAGCAAGCAGGATGGGGCTTGCTGGCTGCAGTGCTGGGCACCATGGAGCCACCCTGGGGTGCACCAGGTCATTCTCTGGCCTGGGAACAGAGGAAGAAGAGGGTAGAGGCACAGGGGATGCTCGATTTGCCCCAGCAGCACCTACCCAGGATGAAGATCTTGTTTCCCTGCAGGAAGGCAGAGGCCCCATAACACGGTGTGGGCATGGAGGGTAGGGGCTGCCAGTGGTCTTTTGCTGGCTCATAGACACGGACCAGTGCCTGGGGAGAGGTGTCCGCACCCATTCCCCCCAGTGCGTAGACAACCCCATCTGGAAAAGAGGCAGCAGTGAGGCAGGGGGATCTGCGGGCAGCACCCAAGGGCTGGGAATCCCCCCATGCCCTTCAGGGCAGGCAGCAGCAGTACTGCTGAGACCCACAGCCAGACACTGCTCTGGGGCAGCCAGGGGACAGTGAGTACAGCCAGGCCTGAGCCTGGCAATGCTCTGACTGCCCTGGGACCCTCTTGACCCCCTCTCCATCCCATCCATCATGCACAGACAAGAGCACAGGGCCATCCTCTCTAATTATTCTCGGCAATATCATCTCCCTGGAGACACCATGGCAACACAGCCATACTGCCAAATCCTGCTCCTGCTTCCAGTGTGGCCGGCACCCCTGCCCGCTCCCACCACTGTCCTGCCATCTCCTCTGCCCTGCCCACCACACTGCAGCCTGGTTCGTGCCACAGCATCCCTGTCCAGGGAGCACACATGGGCACCACACACAGGGACCAACCCTGGCTCCTGTCCTGCTGCGTTGTACCAAGACTCCAAGGATGCTAAGCAAACTTTGGGCAAGAGTCACAACATGTTCCTATCCCTCACCTCTCTGCACAGCTGAGATGCCCATGGAGGGCTGAGCCAATGCCGCCTTCTTCTCCCATTTGCCCTCATCCACGTGGTAGACCTCAACGGAGGCGAGGGGGCTCTGTGCCGCATCCACACCGCCCACCACCAAGATCTGCTTGCCCAGGGTGAGGACGGCAGCGCCAGCCCGCGGCGTGGGCAGTGGTGGGAGCGTGGTCCAGCGCTGGGCTTGGAGGTCGAGCAGCTCAGCAGTTCCCAGGGCTCGCCCGCCGCCCCCGCAGCCGCCCAGCACGAAGAGCTGCCCGTCGCGGTGCGCGGCGCTGCAGTACACGCGCCGCGTGGGCATGGCGGGGAAGGTGGCCCACGCGAAGGCGCCCGCGCCCGCCGCCATGGGCCGGCTCAGCCGCCTCGGGGGTCCCCGGGCTCTGGCCCCGCCGTGCCGCCCATCCGGCCCGGCTCGCCACTGCTCCGGCCCACGGCCTCCTGCGGGGAGAGCATCCGAGTCAGAGCCCGGGCACCCATCGCTCCCCCAGCCCCAGCTAGCCGGCCCCCCTTGGCGGTGCGACAGCTCCTGCTTCGCGGGGCTGCGCACTGCATCCCGGGCTGCCTGCCTACCCCCTCCGGGCTCCCGACTGCGCCCCACGGCTCCCTGTCCGCCCCTCCGGGCTCCCACTCCCTGGGGCTCTCTGCCCGCACGTACCAGTGCTCTTGCTTCCCGAGGTTCCCGCAGCCCGGGCTCCCACTACCCGGTGCTGTTGGTACACAGCCCGCACTCACTGGGACCCTTGCGTGCCCGGGGCTCTCTACCCGCATCCCCCGGGTCCGTACCGCGCAGAGGTTTCCCGTTCACAATCCGGACCCCGCCAGGTTCCTGCTCTCGGCGCACCGTCCTCAGCCCCGGTGCTGTCCGCACTCCCGCCCGCAGCCCCCCGGCGCACTGCCCCGCAGCCCGCACCCCCAGGGCTCCCGCCCACAGCTCGCTGGCACCGGCGTCCCCCGGGCTCCCGCTGCAACCCTGCGCTCCCCGGATGCCCGCCCGCAACCCCGGACGGCCGCCCCGCCGTGCCCGGACTGCCCGCTCCGCTCCGCGCCGCCCCGCCGCTGGGAGAGGGACAGGGGCAGGGACCAGGACCGGGACCGGGACCGGGACCGCGCTCACCTCTCCGCCCGCTCCGCCGCTCTCCCCGCCGTTCCGCGCCTCCGCCCGCCCCGGGCCCGCCCGCTGCCGGTGGGGGCGGCGCCGCGTCCGCCCCGGCCCCTCTGCCGTGCCCCGCTCCCCTCCGCCCGACCCTCCCGGTGCCACCGGCCCGCCGGGCCCCTGCCGCGTTCACCTGGCCGGGAAGGAACCATCGCAGGGAGAGGGGCTAGAGAGACCCTGGCTCTGCCCTCACTTGCTGTATGCTGCCGGCGCCAGAGCCAACACAGTGCCGGGCTCAAGGATAGGGAACCCACCGTCCTACCCTAGAGAGGATGTCCTGTCACCACTGCAGGGACAGAACATAAGCTCAGCCCTACTCTGAGCACGACCTTGATGGGGTCTCTCAGCAGCATAAGGAAAGGTGCACACGGGTCTCAAACCCTCCACCAACACTTTTGTCCCCACTTGGCTGAGCCAGGCAAATGAACACGCTGGGAAAGGCGCTTCCCACCCACCAGCACATGCAGAGCCAAGGGCAGGCAGGAAACTCACACAGAAATGAGCTAAAAAGGTTTGCTTTAAAAACAGACAGAAGTGACAAGGCATCCACCAAGAACACCACACCACAAATGCCACCTAGGGATGCTGCTGATAACACTGCACTCATCCTGGCACCTGCTCTGCACCAACCATCACTGCAGGAGCGGGAAGTGAGGTGCGAACACTGCGAGGCTGCCTGCATCACAGTATGGTGGAAGGGACCTGCCTGGTGACTGCAGAGGGATGGTGAGCCCCAGCCCTCACACAGAAGTGGGCACCACAGGCAACGCTGCCAAAGACTGGAAAACCATTTCCTCCAAGAATCCCATCATACAAGCTCCCAGGACGCTCGTGTTTGCTCATGGAAGCTCCTGATAGGACCGAACATGCACATTGCACATTGGAGAGGTAACAGCTTGAAGCAGGAGCCTGCCTGGGACTTTGACTGCATGCAGCAGGAAGCGGGTGGTGTCCCAGTCTGGAGCCACTCAGCCCCATGAGGTGGTATCAGTGTCCATCCCACTGCTGGCTTGGGTTGTCCTTCTCCATGCAGGCCAGGTAGCGGTCATAGTTCTCCTCGCACCTCCTCACACAGCGCAGGAAATAGTCCTCATCAGCAATGGCCTCCAGCAGATCGGTTTGCACCAGGCAAACGTTGTACAGCGCCGAGGTGGGCAGGCTCCTGGGACTGCTGACACCCTGCTCCCAGAACACCTGCAAGGAGAGCAGAGCCTGGCAGCAACGCACATGCCTGTGGCACACTCTGTCCTCCCCTCAGCCAGGCGCCTCCATGCTGGCTGTGTCAGGGACAAGAGGGCAGGGTGGTCCTATCTCCACTGCAACAGCAGAAGGTGAAGTTTCTTGAGATTTCCCCCTCTCCCAGAAAGTGCCTTTGACTCTGAACCAGCATGTCACATGTGCCTGGTGCTCCCTTAAGGAAACAGGCCACACCACGCAGCTGGAAGAAAATGACTCTGTGGAGCAGCTGACTCCAGGGAAACCTCTGCCATAAGCTCTTCCTTTAGCCACCACAGGATGGAACAGGGACTTCACCTTCTAATCTTCACCATGGCCTGCTTAAAGCCACTTGGCAATCTGTTTCACTCCTAGTGCTGCTCTGTCACCATCACTGAAATGGGGACAGCCCTGCAGAGCTGGTGATGCAAGAGGAGGGGAGAATGGCATTCCACCTACTGATCCTGGCTGCAGGACAGCAGGGTCCCAGCAGTGACGATGAGCCCTGCTGGGAAGATGCTTGGTTGCTGCCCAGACTCCCACAAGGTCTGCTGCTACCATAACTGGATCCTACCTGTGTGATCCAGCGTGGGAGCAGCCCCAGGGCTGGCTGCACGGCTGCCATGAGATTAGCATAGCAGCCTGACTGACCAGCCACACAGGCTACCAACACCAAAGGAGGAGCTCCTTGATCAGACAAACAGCCTGATGCTGAAATGCATCAAGTGGAGCTGTGAGACACGCTCCAGCTGCTGCAGATCTGCATGCAGCAGCCATTGCAGAGGCTCCCCTCAACCAGGCATGGCACAGACCAAAGCCTGTTCCTGACAGGTCTGTCCAGGCAGTAAAAATTCCTGCCACCAGCTACAAATGTGTAAGTTGAGAAAGCTGGTATGGAAGGGAACATCCAATGAGCATCCCATCCCTTGCCATTCCCAGGCTGCTGGGCAAACACTGCGACAATTCACTGGCTGCTGTGTTTCCCCTCAGCACCATTTCAGTATGGGTGGAAACTGGCAGGGGTTGAGGATCGCCCATGGATCTGCAGCTCTTGTTTGAGCATTGACAGCCATCCAACGGCCAGGCACGGTTCTGTCTGCATAAACATTGTGTTTCCCAAGTGTGTGTGCTCCCCACAAACACTGCTGGTTCATTCAGACAGGTGACAAGGCTGGCAGCCCTGATATCACTGCTGCTGCCTCCAGGCACGGGGCTGACTCAGAGGGGAGCAGAGGCAGCCAGCACCTGCTGTGCATTGCTGACGGCTGATCTCACCCTCCCTGTGCATCGCTGCCACCAACACTGGCGGCACAGGATGCAGTGACAGCAGGGCTATGCCTTGACCCCCACTTTGCAGCCTCATGCAAAGGGGACAAAACATGTCTGACCTTGCCAGGGACATCCCTAGTGCATGGTGCCAGAGGGGCCCTCAGCCACCTACCTGGGGGTGAACAATGGTGTCTCCATCGTCCAGCCGGATGTTGTCATCAATGAAGATGTGGTGAATGTCAGGATCATGGGGGTCTATCCACAGGGGCTTCCCACCCTGGGAAGAGAATTGATTTCTAGCCCACCTGAAACAGTAAGTGGAGAAGGAATAGTCGGACAGGGAGAGGGTAACAGCTCTCGAGTAATGGCAGACTGTACTGCAGGCCCAGGGCACCCTCTAAGCCAAGGAAGCAGAATGTCCTGTCCTTGTGCCCATGCCCTCCTAGGAATGAGGCATTTTGCATCAAGATGACAAATCAGGAGGTCTTTGGAGAAAAGCAGGAGGTACACCAGGAGATGAGGACCTCAGGAATGGTGAGTCCCATCAAGCAGCCCACAGGCAAAATGGAGAGTGCCTAAGTGATAGAGACCCCAACACCATAAAGGCTTCAAAACTAGGAGCTATCCTAGAAACGAAGAGAATCACAGGAAAGAAGATAATGCCCAACCCACTTCCTCAGTGCCTTCTTCTCACCAGTCAAAGTGGTCTTGGAAGCCTCCAATTCCCTCAAAGGAGCTGAAGTAGTTGTAAAGCTTTCTTCTGTCCTCCCGGGTGGCCAGACGCTCTGCTCCCCGTGTTAGCACCACCTCTCGCTTGCTGCAGCGTATCTGGCCAGGGGTAAGGTCCACAGGGAGCTGCAGGACCACAGAAAATGGGAAATGAAAAGTTTCTAAAGCAGACAGGTTGTTTCACGCACTGGAAGAGACACCAAGCAGCAGGGTGGAGACTCCTCACCACTACAGTGTGGGAGGATGGTGCTGGGAAGATGAAAAGAGGTGGCATGGAATGCATCCAACCAAAAATCACCCCCTCCCCAAGGATGTGAAGGAATGACCTCCTAGCTGCACACTGCCCCCATTTCAATCTCTGCTACCTGAAAACACTTCAAGGAATAACTAAAGCATCTTCTAAAGCTCATTCCCAGCACTCCTGCCCAGTGTGCTGCCAGCGGGAGGAGATTGCAGCTGTGATCGGCTCTGGGCCAGGGAGCCCTGCTCTGCTGCAGCAGCCCCTCCTCGGGAGAAGGCATGCTCTGTCCAACACTGGATACCCCAAGAGGCGATCATTCCACATAGGATCTGCACACACATGCTCCCACACAGCTAACAGCGTCATCCAGAGCTTTTTAAAAGCAGCCTGGCCAAGCACTCGGAGAGCAGTCTGACAGGGAGTGGGGAGGGCTCTGTGGGACCATCCCCATCACGCCAGACCCTCGGGGCGCCACTCACCGCCACGTCCCGCAGGGCAGGGAACTGGGGGTGCTGCCCGTGCAGAGCGCTGCTGACGGCCTGCAGGGCGCGGGGCAGGTCGGCGCCGAAGGTCCTGAAGATAACAGCGAAGGCCCTGCCATCCCGGTGCAGCGTGTCCAGGAGGCGGAAGAAGGAGGGCAGGATCAGGTGGTAGCGTTTGCCGGGCTCTCCTGGCACCGACAAGGCGTCGTGCGGCGGGCCCGGCCACTCCAGCAGCCGCAGGTGGCGGGCGTGGAGCTCACGGAAGCGCCGGCCCGGGCCGGCCTCGGTGAAGGCGGGGTCCCGGCCGTGGCGGCTGTAGTAGCTGAGGGCGCCGGGGCACGGGGGGCGCAGGGACGGGCGGTCGCTCACCCACTCCCACTCGCCTACAAGAGAGGAACGTGCTCAGCCCCGCACCCCACACCGGGTCCCCCGCACCCCCGGCCCCGGCGCTCACCGGCAGCCCCGGCGCGGCCCCAGGTGACGGTGCTGAGAAAGGTGTTGAGCGCCGCTGGTGGGGCCTGCCCCGTCACCGTGTCCGCCACCACCACCGTGTTGTTGAGGTCCACGTGCAGAACCAGGCGCCGCCGCCGCCCGGCCCCGCCGCTCATCGCCCCGACACCGACCCCGTTACCTGGTGACGGGGCCGCTTCCGCCCGCGCCGCTTCCGCCAGCGGCGCCCCCTGCCGGCCCGGGGCCGGCCCTCGCCGCCGTTGCCGTGGTCACGGCGGGGCGGGGGCGGGAGGGGCGGTACCGGGGCGGTACCGAACGCGCTCCGTGACTGCGGCGCGGCGCTGCCCGCGGAGAGGGACCGGAAGCGGAAGCGGGGGCACTTCCGGCGCCCCGCGGGCGGCCATGTTGGAGCGGCGGGCGCGGCGCAGCGGCGGGCGCGGGTCTGGCGGCAGCCGGTAGGTTGGGGCCGGCGGGCCCGGGCCCCGCGCCGGCTCCCGGGCGAGGGCGCTGCCGAGCCGCCCGCTGGGGCAGCCTCGGGGCGCTGAAGGCGGAGCCGCGGCGCTGAGGACCCCGCCCCGCCCCCCGCCCCCCCGGTCCCGGGAGCCGGCACGGGCCGGGCGCTGGTGCCGCACCCGCTGTCTGCACCAGTCACCCCCGCAGCCCTGCACGGAGCGGGGTCCCCGCGGCCGGCGGGCCGAGCCGTGGGGAGGGTGCAGCGGGGGAGAGGGACGGGCGCTCGGTAACGGGCATCGCTTGTGCCAGGGGCGGGCCGAACCAGAGGCTGAGCGAGGACCTGGCGGGCCCGTCGAGCCCTGCTGGGCGCTGCGCACCGGCCGCCTGCTCTGCAGCTGCCCCAGCCCCGCGTCCCGGCCCTGCCGGCAGCCGCTTCCCCTGCGGTGCACCGGGAGAGCCCTTTCCGTGCTCGGACAGCCGGGCCTCGAACCCGGTGCTGTGCTTGCACCGTGCGGGATGCTGTGTTCCCGCAGCCCCCCGGCCCCGCAGCAGTGTGTC